TAGAAGGCGCCTTTGGAAAAGCAACTAAAATTAGCGTGCCCCTCCTTCCCCACTGACACGTGCCTCAGGATGCTGGGAGCCTCCGCCTCTGGAGGATTGAGCTATTTCAGGAAACTGAAAAGCCAGTGGAACACGCATTTCCAAAGGACAGGAAGTCACCTCTGAGCTGTTGTGACTCTTCTATGAGAAACAGAACGTGTACCGTGGTCCATGATCAGAAAGCAATGTCAGGTTTCAACTGGAACGACACAGATGTATCCACGTATTTCATGAACAGCACAGGTGCCCCTCTTCTCTCCACGTTCTGTAGTCCCTCTTCTCTCCACGTTCTGTAGTCCGTTGTGATGGGTGTGGTAATGTTTACAGTTCCAGGGCAGCCACTGGGCACCTGACCACGTGCTGTATGCCTGGCGTCCTGGCTGCATCCAGCTCCACAGTTCAGAACAAGAATCACCTGGAAAGTCTGTTGGAAATACAAACTCAGGGCTCCCACCTTTCTCCAGTTTTTTATTTAGCGGATCTGGGCTGTCAGTAAAGTTCAAAAATGTATTTCTTATGTTTGTAAGTCCCAGGACTTCTGAGAGCTTCGTTCTTGACCACACAGGAGAGCTGACATCCTGAGCCACCAGCCAGCCTGAAATCCCTCCCTCCAGGCAGCTCCGAGGGAGGAGAGGCAGGAGTGAGCTGAACTTGAAGGAGGACGAGTTCCCCCCAAAACAAGTGAGATGACTCCAGCCAGATCCTAATGAAAGGCCACAGGCCAAGTGTGGGTGAGCCAGAGAACCACAGAGGTGTGCATATCACGTGGCGGCACCTGCATGCCTGGTGTGCAAAGACAGCCTCAGGGAGGACACTGACCATCGGGAGGAGCCCGGGAGGAGGCAGCTGCCACCGTAGAAGGGCACAAAGCAAGCCCCACCCCACCTTCCACCTTAAGGGACAGAAGCCATGGGGGAGAGAAGCACCTTGAGGACCCACTGCAGCTGGGGAGAGGTCCCTTAAGGACGTGGTAGGACAATGTCCCAGGCCAGTAGAGACCCTGTATTGCTGGGGCAGGTGCAGGCTCTGTCCTGCAAAAGACCCGCCAAAGACACAAGGCACAGGGAGGAAGGGGCAGGGTCTCTGGGAGAGCTCTGGCCCCAAGACTCAGGATGGACCAGGACAACAGGAAGCTCCTCTGTACCCCCTCTACTGGGGGTGGGCAAGACTGTCCAAAATAATACAAACATCAAACCCAGAAAGTCAGATCCCAGAAAGTCGGAGAAAACAGCAGGATAAATACTGCAAAAACTCCCAGTTCCGAATGTGTGCTCTGAGTCTGTGGATGTGCCTGTGGCCCTGACTCTGGAACTCACTGCAGCCTCATCTGCAAGGTTGTAAGAATGGGCTTCAGGGAGCCCTGTTCAAACACTGCAACCCTCCTACCCACAGCTGGTCCAGGGGTGGGTATTTGATCCAGCTGGAACGGGGAGGGAAGAGGAGGGAGAGGCCGAGGATGCAGGAAGACTCAATGCTTTCTCTAAGTGCTGGCAGGCATGCTATTCCACACGTGGACTGCATTACCAGATGAAGCTAGTCTCAGAGGAAGAGGAGAGCGAGCAGAGGTGGAGACGGTCACGAAGGCTTTCAAACTCCTGGTTCCATTCTGTTCCTGAGACTCAACTGCAGTCCCCTGTACACATGTCATGAGACACCAATATATGCTATTTTTATTTTTTAAATAAATACCTCTCCTTTTTAATCCCCATTTCCTTAAAGCACATCAATTTCTGGAGTCCTTGGCTAATAGGATTCAATTTCTTCTCATAACAGAAGACACTGTTTCCATTATACAGAGGAAGAAACGGAATCTATGGTTCAAAAGATGCCAGCAGGCAGCACCTCCGCATTGGGCTTGAAGCCCCCGAACGTGGGTGGATGAACATGTTTGGGGTAAGCCTAGGACCATTTCTAAGGGAAGTTTTGGGAGAGACCTCCTGGATCCCCTCTACTCGAGGGATAAATCTAAACAAGACTAAGGGCTCTGAAACACCCCTAAACTGTATGCTGCCCAACAACTACCCAGTGAGAGCGCCTCCCCGTGCACAGCCAGTGGCAAACACCAGTTGTTCCAGTTCTTATCAGAACACTTATCCAAGCTTTTCTCCTTACCGATAATTCACCTCTAGTGGCCGGGTGCGGTGGCTCACGCCTGTAATCCCGCACTCTGGAAGGCCAAGGTGGGTGGATCACCTGAGGTCATGAGTTCAAGACCACCCTGGCCGACATGGCGAAACCCTGTCTCTACCAAAAATACAAAAAAATTAGCCGGGTGTGGTGGTGGGCGTCTGTAATCTCAGCTACTCAGGAGCCTGAGGCAGGAGAATCACTTGAACCTGGGAGGCGGAGGGTGCAGTGAGCCGAGCTTGCATCATTGCACTCCAGGCTCGGCGACAAGAGTGAAACTCCGTCTCAAACAAAAAAAAAATCGCCTCCAGTGTCAGGACTAAACCTACATGTAGGAGAAATATTTAATTTCTTAAAATCTGAAGGTTACTATGTGTTAGGTATTGTACTAAGCAGCTTACATTCATTGACATTTAATTTTCAGATTTAATTGTGTGAAGTAGGTATTACTGTCATCCCCATGTTACAGATGCGAAAACTGAGGCTTAGAGAAATAAGCTGTGCGAAGGCTACAGTAAGAGGAAGAACTAAGAGTGGAAAACCAGGTTGTCCAACACACATCTGTCACTCAACCATGGCACTGTGCTGCCTTCTTCACCTACACTCCAACTTCGTCACTTCAGCAATGTTTAGGGTTTTTTTCCTTCAACAAGTTCTACATTATAAAAACTAAGCAAGCCAACAAGTAGAAAAATGTATAAAGGTTTCGTAAGGGTTTCTAAATCATCCAAACAGTAAAAAGAAATTTAAAAAACCACAAAATAAAAACCCTTCTGGAAATATCTTTCACCAGGATAAGGAGGAATTTCTTGGCAGCCAGCAGAAAACCCTGTTCTCATATTTTCCAGTAAAAGAAACTGAAAAATTTCCTTTTCACTGAAGCACACGTTTGATGACTTTACTCACCATATAAGGAAATGAGTGATTCTGCACTTTTCAGCCCCATCCTTCTTTTCTGAGCACTAAATTTCATTTGGAAGTTAATATGTTATTTTAAAAGTACAGTCATCTATGGAAGATCCAAACTAAGAGCACTATTAAATTTTGAAGAAGATTTAAAGATTTGGATTTTGTTACATTCTGCCACTTTTTAAAAAGGTCTTTCTCTAAATTATTAAAAATGTCCCTGGCTAAAGATGGGTAAGTTAAAAATACTTAGCAGTTTGTTAAGATTACTGAGGTTTTTTTGGTCACTAATGAAGCTGGTTTCTTAAACATACTGGACCTTTAATAACTGGTATGTGAAAACAAACAAACAAACATGAATTTTAAAACTTATGAATCTCTTAACTTCCTGAATAGTAAAATTTAATTTTAACAGTAAAATTTGACAGAGATGACCTAGGAGTTTTTGGTTGTTCCCATGTTTTGTGTACTTAAAATCGATTCAAAATAAGCCCATTTATTTCAGTAATAAGAAAATCAGAACAATTATTTTATTCATAACAGAAAGTGATGACACTTAATTCTTTTGTTTTTATACAGAAAAAGTACAACCTGTAGTAAACTAGTTTTTGACAGGTGTATATAAACCCATATTTTAAAAGCCAAATAATAATTTTTAGTAAGTTATTTGAATCAAATTATATGAATTAACATTCCTACTTTAAATTACATATGATGTTGAAGGTACCTACATGCAGGACTCATCAATGGCACATCTTGCATCATTCATTTACCAAACTCTAAGGAGACAGTTATGATCCTTGCTTTCAAAGAGCTAACAATAACTGTGCAGAAATTGCTGAAAGTAAGTGAAACAAAAGGGGTGAAGAAAGCCTTCTGTGGCAAAGGAAAAGGCACAGGCAGGGAGTAGTGAGGTGTGGGTTGATACAGACAACCATATGGGCAGTGTGCACCTGGAGAAGATGACCCAGACCACAATGAACACGGAGGGCAGCTAAGGGAGACGCTGGCCAGAGGCTACAGGTGCCCAGAGAAGGAGGAAGGAGTCTGTTTGGCAGGAGTAACAGTTCTGTTGTCTTGGTTTTGTGGGAAATAACAAATAGTATTTATTAACAAATAATAAATAGCATTAAAATAGTATTAACTTTAAAAAAACAACAACAACACAGTATACGTTCAGCATCCCTAATCTAAAAATCCAAAATGCTTCAATATCAGAAACTTTTTGAGTACTAGCATCATGCTCAAAGCAAATACTCACTGGAATCTAACGCAAATACTACAAAACCTGAAACACATCTGGTCCTAAACATCTCCAATAATATTCAACCTGTATATGAAACTGTATGTACAGTTCATTAAACACATCCCAAATGAGGAAGGAGGTGCATGCAAGTGACGGTAGCCCTTATCTCTGGAGGGGAGAAAAGGGAGGTTTACAGGTTAGTCTTCTCAACAAAGTGTTCAGGAACATGAGCACTGTATCAGACTAAACTGGATCTGTATCCAGGCTCTTATTAGTTGTGTGACTTGGAAAAATAAGACTTTCACAATCTCAGTTTCTGAACAGTAAAAGAAAACAACGTTAATATTTAGCTATAGAGTTATGAGGATTAAATGAGCAAATATCTATAAATCATATTCAGTGAGGTGGTGAATAAAATGTGAGCTAAGACCTACACTTCTGAAGAAGTCCACGTTTTCAAATTTTTGTAACATTTTTATAATCAGGAAAGAGAGCTGTTTATCAGGAGATAAGCTATCAGTTAAGGCACAAAGAAATACAAAAAACTCCCACAAGATTCATGCAACAGAAAGGGACAACAGCGAGTTGATAAAATTTTGTTTCTCCACTTTATACATTCTTCCACGGGTATGTATTTTTGTCACCGAATGGGAAAATAAAAATGAAATAAATATTGACTTACTGGTTTCCTAAGGAAGAAGATAGACAAAGCTCCAACTAAGGGCATATCTCCAATCAACGGTTCCAGAATCACCCGCATGGTACCATGAATCTAAACTCAAACAGGAAACCAAAATATGTAATAGAAAACAATTCTCCTGGGCCACTTAAGGAGTTTGCTTGCGCATCTTAGTAACTTTTGAGCACTTGACTTCTTATTTCTCTCAACTATGACCTACAGTTAAAAACTGAACGTCAAAAAAATTCCAAGCTAGAAAAACTTCCTAATTTTCTTTCTGAATACAGCTTAGAGAACTTTAGAAAACTGTAAAATTAAAACAAAACCCAAAAAACTTACCTGGATACTTTTCACACCAGCTCTACAAAAATATCGTTTGATCTCCAAATCAATCTCACAATTTCCTACAAAACTAACAAAGAAAAAATTCTGCATTACATAATGTGAGTGAAATGAACTACTCTCTTCATCACTATAGACCTGCAAGATGTATAATCTGAATAAAATGATAGTAAAGCAAGCAAATAGATTGTAGGTAAAAATAGTAAAATACGGCCCATCAGATTATAGTATTTTACCGCTCCAGGTCTTCAGGCTGTTATCAGATCCAATACTGCTCTGACCTTGGGAGGAATACTCCCAATCAATCAATCAATCAATCAATCAATGGTTGTGGTTGTTGTTGGTCTTACATATAAAAATCTTAACTAAATAGAAATGTCGATGTTCAAAAGAAGATGTAAATAACAAACTGCAACTTCTGAAGCAGACTTTTGATGCAATGTAGTTTTCTTTACCTTATAAATCTGATGTTTAAAACATTAAAAAGTTTAATTTTATTTCACACAAATAAATTTCACATCTTGCTTCCCAATCATGAAAAATCTCTCAGTGCCCTAGGCCTCTATGACACCAAAGACTAGAAACAGTGCATCTGTTTGGGGCCTCAATTTTGCTCAATAAGTAAGTCATTTCAGATATTAATATGAAACAAACATAACGCTATAAGGCAAGATATGCATCTATTTTTAATATAAACATGAAATGTCAAACACTTTTTGCGTGGGTTAGTGTAGGACCTGCCCCGACCCTCGGCCCTGGAGGCAGGATGTCACACTCTGACCTGACAACGTCTGTGGGGAAGTTTGATAAATCCTAGAAAGGGAATGTCTAAGCAGATAAGCAAAATAGTAACGAAAGGAATCTGGAATAAGTTTCTTCCAGTATTTATTGTCCTGGTATTAACGCCAAGGCCTACAGATTCTTCTCATTGAGAATTACTCTCTACCTAGTTGGTAAAATCACCAATAACCTGTTACAAAACTATAAAAAAAACTTTCCTTTTCTTCATTCTATGACTTGATCATTTTCTTTTCTTTTTTTTTTTGAGATGGAGTCTTGCTCTGCTGGCCAGGCTGGAGGGCAGTGGCACGATGGTGACTCATCACAACAGCCGCTCTCTGGTTCAGGCCATTCTCCTGCCTCAGCCTCCCAAGTACCTGGGATTACAGGTGTGCACCACCATGCCCAGCTCATTTTTGTACTTTTAGTAGAGATGGGGTTCCACCATGTTGGCCAGGCTGGTCTCGAACTCCCAACCTCAAGGGGTCCACCCGCCTCCGCCTCCCAAACTGCTGGAATTAACAGGCATGAGCCACTGCACCCGGCCTTGATCATTTTATTTTCTAATACTTTTCAATGATTCCTTCCCCATCTCTACTGCCTGCCAATTTAGTTAAAGTGCTTGTCTGGAACTCACAACAAAGCAGAATGCATATTTGTTCAGAGACATAAATCTGAGCGGGACACTCGGCACATGTTATGGGGGCTAACCATGAAACCAGACTGCACCTTCAGAATGGCGTCCACTGACTGACGGACTCAAACTTGCTCGGTGCTGGCGACACTGGATAAGCGCACAAGGCTCCGACCCTCATGAAGCCTGGTACCAGCCCAGTGGGCCACCCTCCTGGAGGTGGACCGTCCTCCTGGGGCACAGCCTGACCTGAGACATACGTGGGTGTCCTCTTTTATTCCACTGATGACAATGGTGTTTGCCCTAGCACCAAATATTTTAAAGAGGCAGATTTTTCCATATTAGATTAAAGAAAGTCTATGCTTCTTTCTGAAATAAAGGTAACTTGGTACCAACTTTGTACATTCATTATATTTAAATACTTTGGAAACTCAATGACCACTTTAATAAAATGATCTTTAGTAAAGGATCAAAAAAAGCACACAACTCTGAGCTGCTAGACACCACGTGTTGTTCTGAGTGCACAGTACTCACTGGGCACCACACACAGTGTGTTGTGAGGCCCCACGTGGAGCAGGAAGCCCTGAGCAAGCTCAAGGAAGAACGAGGATGAAAGACAAGAGAAGCCCACTTTTGAGCCACAGCCCAGGGGACACAGCGAGACCCTATGGGGGGTGTGGGGGGAAGGAAGCCCATTTTTATTATGCTATGCATGGTAGCTGGCAGCTCTTCAATTTCTTTGTTTTCCAATGTAAAACACTGTATTAAAATACACAAAAATTTGGCTGGGCATAGGTGGCTCACGTCTGTAATCCTAGCACTTTCGGAGGCTGAGGCAGGTGGATCACTTGAGGTCAGGAGTTTTAGACCAGCCTGGCCAACAAGGTGGAAACCTTGTCTCTGCTAAAAATATAAAAATTAGTCAGGCATGGTGGCATATGCCTATAATCCCAGCTACTCGGGAGGCTGAGGCAGGAGAATTGCTTGAATCCAGGAGGCGGAGGTTGCAGTGAGCTAAGATCGCACCATTGCACTCCAACCTGGGTGACAGAGACTCCGTCTCAAAATAAATAAATAAATTAATACCCAAAAAACGTACCCTTATAATCATTTTTAAGTGTACAACTCAGTGGTACTAAACACATCCATAACATGCAATCATCACCACCAGCCATCTCCAGAACATTTTTCAACTTGCAAAATGAACACCCTTTCCCCATTAAACACTAACTCCCCATTCCTTCTGCCCCCAGGCCCTGGCAACCACCATTCTGCTTCTGTGTCTATGAGTTTGACTCCCCCGGGCACCTCACACAAGTGGAATTACACAGACGCTGTCCCTTTGTGTCTGGCTTGTTTCCTTCAGCATAAAGTCCTCAGGGTCCAGCACGTGGCAGCCGGAGCAGGAGTCCCATGTTTTTAAGGCACACAGGCATATAGGCCACATTCTGCTTATCCATCCATCGGCCCACACAGACTTGGGCTGCTTCCACCTTGTAGCTATTGTAAAAAATGCTGCTAAGAATGTGGGTGTGCAAATATCTGCTCAAGTCCTGGCTTTCAATTCTTTCAGGTATGCACGCAGAAGTGGGATTTCTGGATCACATGGTAATTTTACGTTTAAGGTTTTGAGGAACTGTTTCCACAGCAGCTATACCATTTCACATTTCTACCAACAGCGCACAAAGGTTCCAATTTCTCCACATCTCACCAACACCTGTTATTCTCTGGGTTTCTTTTGATAGTAGCCTTTCTAATAGTTGTTAGGTGGTATTTCATTACGGTCTAGATTTGCATTTTCCTGATGGTTAGTGATGGTCAGTATCTTTTCACATGCTTACTAGCCATTTGTGTATCTTCCCTGGAGAAATGTCTATTCAAGTTCTTTCCACATTTTTGAATAGGGCTGTTTGGTTGTTCTGTTGTTGAATTTCAGGAGTTCTCTATATATCCTGGATGGTGACTGCTTACTGGATTCATGACTATAGGGATTGCATTAAATCTGGGATTGCTTTAGGTAGTAGTAACATCTTAACAAGATTAAGTTTTCTAATCCATTAATTAAGATAGAATGTTTTTCTATTTATTTGTACCTTCTTTGATTTCTTTCAGCAATATTTTAGTTTTCAGTGTACAAGTCTTTCTCCTCCTTAGTTTATTCCTAAGTATTTTATTATTTTTGATTCTATTATAAATGAAATTGCTTCCTTCATTTTCTTTTGGGATTGTTCATTGCTAGTGTATAAAAATGCAATTGATTTTAGTGTGTTCACTTTGTATCCTGCTACTGTGCTGAATTTATTTCTTAGTTCCAAGAGTTCTTTTTTTTTTTTTGGTGGGATCTTTAGGGTTTTCTACATATGAGATCATCTCAACTGTAAAGAGAAAGATTAATTCCTTCCAGTGGGTGCAGTCACTCATGCCTGTGATCCCAGAGCTTTGGGAGGCCAAGGTGAGTAGATCGCTTGAGCTCAGGAGTTAGAGACTAGCCTGGGAAACATGGTGAAACCTCATCTCTACAAAAAAAATACAAAAATTAGCCACACATAGTGGCATGAACCTGCAGTCCCAGCTACACGGGAGGCTGAGGTGGGGGGACTGCCTGATTCTGGAAGGTCGAAGCTGCAGTGAGCCAAGACTGCGCCACTGCACTCCAGCCTGAGTGATAAGGCAAGAACCTGTCTCAAAACAAAAACAAAAACAAAACCAACAAACCAAATATATATACACACACACACACACACACATATAAAATGTCTTTCTTCCTTTCCAGCCTGGGTGCCCTTTATTTCTTTCTCTTGCCTAACTGCTCCAACTAGAACTCCCAATACTGTGTTGAAGAGAAGTAGTGAAAGAGGGCATCCTTGCAGTTGGTCCTGATTTTAAAGAAAAAGCTTTCAGTTTTTGACCACTGAGTAAAACTTTTTTTTTTTTTTTTTTGAGACGGAGTCTCGCTCTGTCGCCCAGGCTAGAGTGCAGTGGCGCGATCTTGGCTCACTGCAAGCTCTGCCACCCAGGTTCATGCCATTCTCCTGCCTCAGCCTCCAGAGTGGCTGGGACTACAAGCGCCCACCACCACGCCTGGCTTTTTTTTTTTTTTTTTTTTTTTTTTTTGAGACGGAGTCTTGCTCTGTTGCCCAGGCTGGAGTGCAGTGGCGCAATCTCGGCTCACTGCAAGCTCCGCCTCCCGGGTTCACACCATTCTCCTGCCTCAGCCTCCGGAGCAGCTGGGACTACAGGCGCCCGCCACTGCGCCCGGCTAATTTTTTCTATTTTTAGTAGAGACGGGGTTTCACCATGGTCTTGATCTCCTGACCTTGTGATCCGCCTGCCTCGGCCTCCCAAAGTGCTGGGATTACAGGCGTGAGCCACCGCGCCCAGCCGCCTGGCTTATTTTTTGTATTTTTAGTAGAGATGGGGGTTCATCGTGTTAGCCAGGATAGTCTCAATCTCCTGACCTTGTGATTCGCCCGCCTCAGCCTCCCAAATTGCTGGGATTACAGCGTGAGCCACCAAACCCAGCCCACTGAGTCTAATGTTAACTGTGGGGTTTTCTTATATGGTTTTTATTATGTTGAGTTAGCTTCCTTCTATTCCTAGTTCATTCAGTGTTTTTATCATGAAAGGGTATTGAATTTTGTTAAATGCTTTTTCTCCATCAACTGAGATAATCACATGATTCGGTTTTTTCCTTTTAATGTGGTGTATTACATCAACTAATTGTTGTACGCTGAATCATCTTTGCATTCTGGGAATAAATCCCACTAGGTCATGGTGTAAAATCTTTTTAATATGCTGCTGAATTCAGTTTGCTAGTATTTTGTTAAGTGTTTTTTTTAATCAATGTTCATAAAGAATATTGGTCCATAGTTTTCTTGTAGTGTCTTTAACTTCTTTTTATTTAACACATTTTATGAATGGCAATTATCGAGGCTATTAGAAACTGAGACCCAGAAGGTAAATAATATTTGGATGTCTAACAAGAACTCTAACCGACAGCAGGTAAGACGTGTGCTCTCTGTATCCTCCACCTTACAGGTGCAGCTAAGTGACATTACACGCCATTAACCATGACACAAATACAACAAATAAAAACTTACCTAATCTGAAGGTCCAAAATAATTTGCCTTTTGTCTACATTTTCAGTATATACCTTAACACCATTGATCCTGAGGGGCTGAAATAAGAAGTAGCTTTATTTTAAAATACAGAGGTTAAAAAAAAAAATCAAACCTTGTAACACAGCATAGAGATAAAGAGAACAAGCTTTAAATTTCAGACTACAACAGGAATTAAAATTCTGCCTTCATAACAGAGTGCGGCTTGATTTTCAGCTATTTAACCCCTGTTCCTCAGCTTCCTCACCTGTGATCTGCAGAAAAACAATGGCCTCTGTTTCATGAGATTACTGTGAAATTAGGCGACAAAATAAATGTCAAGACAGTAGTGCATGCCTTGCCCACAGCAGTTAATAAGCACTGGGCATGATTGCTGTTGTCAGCACATGTAACGATACATATGTGCTCTTTTCAAGCCTCTTACTCTCGTCTCTTCGCATCTAACTTGACCCTTTTCCAGTACTCCATCCTAGTACTACCATGTTTGAAACATAACTTCCTTTCATTTATTCTTTATGTCTCAAAATTTTTCATTTCTTAAGACTTTCATGTCCCGGTGTGACAGCTCAGGTCTGTAATTCCAACACTTTGGGATACCAAGGCAGAGGATTGCTTGAAGCCAGGAGACTGAAACCAGCCTGGGCAACATGGTGAAACCCTAGCTCTACAAAAAGTAAAAAAAAAAAAGCTAAGATGGGAACGCACGCCTGTGGTTCTAGCTACTTAGGAGGCTGAGATGGGGTGACTGCTTGAGAGCAGGAGTTTGAGGCTACAGTGAGCTATGATTGTGCCACTGCACTTCAGACTAGGCAACAGAGTGAACTCCCATCTCTCAAACAAAACAAAACAAACAAAACGCTGGGCACGATGGCTCAAAGCTGTAATCCCAGCACTTCAGCAGGCTGAGGTGAAACAATCACTTGAGCCTAAGTGTTTGAGACCAGCCTTAGTGGAGACCCAGGCATGGGGACACGCACCTGTAGTCCCAGCTACTCAGGAGGTTGTGGTAGGGGGAATCCCTTGAGCCCGGGAGGTTGAGGTTGCAGTGTGTGGTGATCACGCCACTGTACACCAGCCTGGGTGACAGAGTGAGACCCTGTCTCAAAACTGAAAGAAGCACCTTACTTTTAGAGTACTACTGCTTACTCCGACAAGTTCGAGTGTATTAAAATCACACCTCTCACCTAGCTGTCGAACCCAACTCTAAGCCTTTACCTGAGAGTCTAGACACCTCCTATGCTCCCAAGTTCCCAGGCTTTTTCTTTATGGCACTAGCTAAGCCATGTACAGACTGCACTAAAAATATAATCACATTATGCTAATAAGTGAAAATGGGGCAGGCATGATGTACATCAGATAACATACTCCCCAAATGACACTGAGATGAAGGGACCAACCCCACTCCAGATGACTGGGCATTACCTAACGAAGGACAAACACCAGAAGGCAACACTGCCGAGCTGCCCGAGGTCTTGGTCAGCACACAGTCTGGCCAAGGGCCCTGCACAGGACTCCGCATGCCATTCTATGCGTCCCTTCATCAGAAAGCCTGGGTTTGCCACTTGTAAGACATTGGTACAGTAGGTGAAAATGCCAAAGTTATCTTTATTGAATCAGTACTCCTCTTAATACTCTTGCTATTCTCCAAGGCCTTCTTATTCAGCTGGTATCAAACTTAACGTGTGTGTGAAGGAACTCAAACATAATTAAATTATTCCTAAAATAAACCCAGGTGAGCTTGGAATTTTAAATATCCACAAACATGAACATGCTGTAACTTAGGGCATAACAGGCTAAATGTGGCCCTTGGCCTGACTCTACAGCCCTGGAGCTAGGATGGTTTTCACTTGGCTAAAGGGCTGTGAAAGAAGGGAGGGAGAGACAGCAGAACAGTGTGCCACAGAGACTTAAGGTGGAGTCAGAGCTAAAACATGTATGACTTGGCCATGTACAGACAGAGCATGCAGCCCCTGCTTTACAGCATTTAACTTGTCACTGGGATTTTAACCTGCACTCACACGGCACTTTAACTTGTAATTATGTTTTTCCCCATCTGTGGTTACCATTTTAGGTGTTGAAGGTAAAGTCAACACTGAAAACGTACTGCAGGCGTCCTGTGTAGAGACACGGGCTCGTCCCACAGGCGTCCTGTGTAGAGACACGGGCTCGTCCCGCAGGCGTCCTGTGTAGAGACACGGGCTCTTGCACAGGATGGCCACGCCTCAGGCATGCCACAAGAAAAGCAGCAGCACATACAGGCAGGTGTCACATGTAAGGCTGCACAGGAGGCACTGGGTCTGGAGTAACTGCTTCTGAGACAGAGCATTCTCTGCACATAGAAAGTCAGCTCTGACGGAGAAAGGTGGCCAGCACCCTGGAGAGCATGGGGTGGACACGGGTGCCCACTAACAGGTGACAAATACACAGTGGCCATGCCAGACCCTCCCGCAGCCACATCTATCACAACCCTGAACCACACTGTGCGGGGATGTCTGTGTGCTTACTCTGCTGTGCGTGCACCAACATGTGCGGACTGTGTGTGTGTTTATAAGAACTCTCACGTTCTGAGTCTTTAGGCATATAAAAAAATGTTACCTTGGACTGTTGCTACTTAAACACTGATTTAAAAATATAAAATAAAAAGAAAAACTTCCCATGATCAACTAAATGTACACTTGAGGCTTTTATGAGAAGTGGTATTAGGAAGTAGAGCTTTCCTTTTTACATAATGTGACTCCGTTAACAAAATTCGTCTTTCCTTCCACCTACGTAATGAATGGTGTACCTATCTTACCAGCATTAGAGTCATTAGTTTTGTTTTTTAACATCCCGAGAGGGGTAAACACCTTAAACATGTCAATTACTGCACATTTAGCATGAATTCACGTATCAAACTCTCTCACAGGAAAGACTACTTAAAACTAGCGCGAAAAGGGCGTGCTGACAGAAGAACACGGAGCAGAAAGACACGTGAGGGGAAAATGTCAGTGTTAAAGAGAAGCCATGCGACGGAGGCTGACATGGCCAAGAGAGCACCTCGGACAAGAAGGCAGCAGGACGGCCTCCCGGCAAATGGGAAGGGGCAGTGAGGGCAAGAGGGCAGCAGGACGGCCTCCTGACAGACAGGAAAAGGCACTGCGGCTGGAGGCAGAGCCTGAGTGGGAAATGCAGGTACACCCGGTAGACCTTCTTGGTGAACAATTTTCCTCAGAACATAATTTGAAGCTGTCTGGTTTTTGAAATAGGGTCTCACTCTGTCACTCAGGCTGGAATGCAGTAGTGCGATCATGGCTCACCAGTCTCGACCTCCTGGGGCTCAAGTGACCCTCCTGCCTCAGCCTCCCGTGTAGTCTGGACCACACACGTGCACCACCACACCCAGCTAACTTTGAAACTTTTTTGCAGAGACGGGGTCCCACTTCGTTGCCCAGGCTGGTCTCTAGCTCAGGTCTCACAAAGTGCTGGGATCACAAGCATGAGCCACTGGGCTCATCGAAGTTGTTTAAAAAACATACATCCAGCTAGTTGGGAGCCTGAGGCAGGAAGATCACTTGAGCCTAGGAGTCTGAGGCCAAGCAGGGCAACATGGTGAGGCCCCCGTCTGAAAAAAAAAAAATGGAAAGAAAATGTGTTTTTTGGCTGGGCGCGGTGGCTCACGCCTGTAGTCCTAGCACTTTGGGAGGCCGAGGCGGGCGGATCACGAGGTCAGGAGATCAAGACCGTCCTGCTAACATGGTGAAACTCCATCTCTACTAAAAATACAAAAAATTAGCCGGGCGTGGTGGCGGGTGCCTGTAGTCCCAGCTACTCGGGAGGCTGAGGCAGGAGAATAGTGTGAACCTGGGAGGCGGAGACTGCAGTGAGCCAAGATAGTGTCACTGTACTCCAGCCTGGGCGACAGAGCGAGACTCCGTCTCAAGAAGAAACAAAAAAAAAATAAAATGTGTTTTTCATGTTTTCACAGCAGTCTGACTGTGTGCACATGTGAGGATACTTAAGAGAACACCACTGACCTGCTGGCCCACGTCGACCTTCGTGAAACTAAAGGTGCTGAGGTGGGTGTTTGCTCCCCGCACAGCTGGTTCTATAGTTTCTCGAAACAACTTCTCTATAAATTGGCAAATGAAAGGCCACATGTGTTTTACAGTCTGGAAAGGAAAAAGAACTCAGTGTAAACAAAATGCTATAATGCATGACACACACGAGTGCTCGTGAGAAACTCTCGCAATGGACCAAACCTGGTTTTGAAAATAAAGAGGGGGGAGGATCTTCTTGTTATGCAAAATCAACATGATCTAAATTCTAAAAAGTTATTAGAAAAACCAACTACTGATTACCTAATACGTTGCAGGAACTAGTTATTCTGGTTAAATATTCTGTGTAAGTATGTCAGCACATGTAAAGATTTCTAAAAGTCCTGTGGTTTCAACTTGTTGCTGAAAACAACAGTAATATTTATAGTTCTTCAACTGTATAAATATTAATAAGCACCTATATTTTTAATGACAAATGAACTTCCAGCACTTTAAAGTGATCATTATCAACATCTGAGTTCACTGTGTAGCCCTAAAGATGCACGAAATACAGAGATAAAACAGATCTAATTCAAGGTATACTGTTCTAAAAACATAACCTTTAAAAAAATGATTGCTGGCTGTGTGCAGGGGCTCACGCCTGTAATCCCAGCAATTTGGGAGGCTGAGGCAGGCGATCATCTGAGGTCGGGAGTTCGAGACCAGCCTGACCAATATGGAGAAACTCCATCTCTACTAAAAATACAAAATTAGCCGGGTGTGGTGGCGCATGCCTGTAATCCCAGCTACTCGGGAGGCCAAGGCAGGAGAATCACTTGAACCCGGGAGGTGGAGGTTGCGGTGAGCTGAGATCGCGCCATTGCACTCCAGCCTGGCCAACAAGAGTGAAACTCCATCTCAAAAAAAAAAAAAAAAAAAAAAGGATTGTTATCGATTATTCAGTTTCTTGTAAGTTATTTCTTTCTTTGTAATGTTTCTTAAAACTTATGATTATTATAAAATAGATTTGAGCCCTGGTTGTTCAGAAAAGAAGACACATGGCCAGAGATATAAATATGCACATGCCTATACTTTTCTCAAGTCAAAGAGACAGTTCTCACTCTCTGGAAAGAAAAGAAATGCATTTGTTATGACTGAGGTCTTTGGGGAGCAGAAGCCAACCCACTAAAGTCCAAACGAGCTCAAATGTTACCAACATGCAAATTCCCAAATATGGAAAGATGGTATCTCATCCTCCAATTCCACTGATAGACGGTATTTGGTATACTCTAATCTTACCTTATTTAGCCATTCTGCTCTTTCAGTGTCTGGAAAATGAACCTAGGAAGAAAATACACACATATGACTTATTAACTCCCAACAACTGTAAATAAAATGTCAAGCAGGCAATTTCATATTCCCATCATATGTCCTATGTTTACATGATGCTTCTTTAAAACACTCTGCTCGAAAGATTTGGAAACTGGTCTCCAAGGAGGGAAAGTGAAATGCATGGCACCCCAGCTCTTTACATTCTGAGAACATGATGAGCAGAAAATTCGAGTGTGGAAAATGCCATCAGAGTCTTCCCTGCACCCCACTGTCCAGAGGAAATTCACTGGAATCTGAAACATCATAGATTATACAAAACTGACCTTCACCTTGTTTAAAAAAACATGCTTCTAGTTAGTATATTATCACCATGTCCTGGAAATTTAGGCCGAGCCTCCACCCTGCCCAGGTCAGCCATGGTGGCGCAAACCTGCAAGTCCCAGGTACTCGGGAGGCTGAGGTGGGAGGATCCCTTGAGCCCAGGAGCTTGTCTGCAATGTGCTGGAATCATGCTTGTGATTAGCGCTGCACCCTAGTCTGGACAACATGATGAGACTCCACAAAATAAAGTAACAAAATATAAACTAAAATAAAATTCACTCTTTCCTTTTGCTTTTCTCTTTTGGCCCAAACCAGCCAAGAGACACTCTTCCTTACTTGGCTCCCCTCCGTACCGTCTCCCACCTTCACCCAGATGGGGATCCCCCTTAAAATTCTGCAGGGAGGGCCTGGATACTGGAGAAGGGTTTGTACAGGAGAAAAGAAACCTATTTAGGGCCAGGTATGGTGGCTCATTCCTGTAATCCCAACATTTTAGGAGGCTGAGGCGGGTGGATTACTTAAAGCCAGGAGTTCAACACCAGCCTGGCCAACATGGGGAAACCCCGTCTCTACTAAAAATACAAAAATTAGCAGAGTGTGGCGGTACCCGCCTGTAATCCCAGCTACTTGGGAGGCTGAGGCAGGAGAATCGCTTGAACCTGGGAGGTGGAGGTTGTAGCTAGTCGAGATCGTGCCACTGCACTCCAGCCTGGATGACAGAGGGAGAGTCTGTCTCAAAAAAAAAAAAAGAAAACCTATTTAAAAAAAACGTGGACTGGGCGCGGTGTCTCACACTTGTAATTCCAATATAGTGGGAGGCTGAGGCAGGAGGACTGCTTGAGGCCAGATGTTCAAGACAAGCCTAGGCAACATAGTGAGATTCTGTCTCTAAAAAAAATGGTGGTGCACACCTGTAGTCCCAGTCCCAGCTACTCAGAAGCTGAGACGGGAGGATCACTTCAGTCCAGAAGTTCCAGGCTGCAGTGAGCCATGATTGAACTACTGCTTTCCAGCCTGAGTGACAGAGTGAGACCCTCTCTCTGGATTGAAAAAAAAGAGAAAGAATATATTTTCTCTGCCATTGGGGCTAAAATAAAACATCCTTGGCCAGGCGCGGTGGCTCACGCCTGCAATCCCAGCACTTTGGGAGGCTAAGGTGGGCGGATCACAAGGTCAAGAGATCAACATGGTGAAACCCCGTCTCTACTAAAAATACAAAAATTAGCCAGGCATGGTGGTGTGTGCCTGCAATCCCAGCTACTCAGGAGGCTGTGGCAGGAGAACCCGGGAGGCGGAGGTTGCAGTGAGCCGAGATCGTGTCACTGCACTCCAGCCTGGGACAGAGTGAGACTCCGTCTCAAAAAAAAAAAAAAAAAAAAAAAAAAAAAATTAAGGGGCCATATAGTTTTAAAAATATCGTACACATATGCATGTGTATAGAAACATGTTCTAATGTAAGTTACACATGCTAATAAATGCACAGAAAAGGTCTGCAAGAATATGTACGAAACTAGTAATGAGGAAACTCAGCTCTTACATTTCCCTCTGTATTTCTATACTTTTGAAATCCTTATAAGCATGAACTAATTCTGTAATTTAGGATTAAAATTAAGAAAATGTTTCTAATACAGGAGTACTATTTTTATATAACAAATGACCAAAATTATGTGAAAGTGCAATTTTCATTAATTAAACCATATTTTAATGATATTAGATGAAAACGATACTTGGAAACAGGATTATCTTACACCAAGTAATCTACTCCAAATTTGATTTGTAAAGAAAAATTTTTTGGAACACCAAGTTTTAAAGATAAATATCATAAAATGACTCCTGTAAAAAATGTTCCAAAATGAAAACATTCTTCCTTCTCTAACATTAGATTTCTCTAAGTTTACTGGTACTTCTCAAATTTGGTCTGACAGTATGCTAGTCAAGTCCTACTCATCCTGTCATCCTTAACGCCTGAGCAACACCTTAAAGCTAAACATACCAGTACCAGAATCACCTACAGAATTATACTTATGTAATAATAATAAAGCTTCTCTACTCAGTCATATATCACAGCAAAAATAAGGTGAGTTCTAATTTTATTAGTCACTGGGCCGTATTTAATCTCCTGCACATGTGTTGACTGTTCTGTTGAAGAATCTATTTATCAAGCACTTCCTCCAGATCCAGCGGGAATGAGACCTGCTGCTGTCCTTGGAGGCTTGTTGCTGGAGGAGGGGCTGGTGTGGGAGGCGTGGCCGCCAGCCAGGGAGGGAGAACAGTGCCGGCACAGGAAGGAGAGTCCGCTGCTGCCTGGAAGGGTCCATGGAAGATTCAGAAAGAGGCCGTAGGCCAGGTGCTGTGGCTCACGCCTGTAATCCCAGCACTTTGGGAGGCCAAGGCGGACGGATCACGAGGTCAGGAGTTCGCGACCAACCTGGCCAGGATGGAGAAACTCAGTCTCTACTAAAAATACAAAAAAATTAGCCAGGCGTGGTGGTGCACACCTGTAGTCCCAGCTACCCAGAAGGCTGAGGCAGAATTGCTTGAACCCAGCAGGTGGAGGTTGCAGTGAGCTGAGATTGCGCCACTGCACTCCAGCCTGGGACTCCGTCTCAAAAACAAACAAACAAACAAACAAACAAAAAAGAAAGAAACTAGCCGTATAAGAGCTGGGGTTGGCCAGGTGTGAAATAACAAGAAATACATATATTTGGTCTCTGCCCCTAGTACCTAACATAGAACTCCTAAAACCCTTTGTAGGTAGGAGTGCTAGGAGAATCTTTTGTTCTAATATTTGGTCTCTCATCCCTGATTCCCCATACAAAGGTACTAAATCTCTTGGAATTTCTTGGGTAGTAGGAGCACCTTTTGTTCTAATGAGGTGTCTCTTGGTGGGCTCCTGGACAGCCTCAGGATGGACAGGAGCATGGGACCAGCACCCACGCCTGCAGTGAGGCAGTGATGGACAGGAGAATGGGTGAAGCCGGCACCCACGCTTGCAGTGAGGCAGTGACGAACAGGAGCATGCAAGGAGGCGGTACCCACGCCTGCAGTGAGGCATTGATGGGCAGGAGAGTGGGAGGCGGTGGCACCCATGCCTGCAGTGAGGCAGTGACGGACAGAAGGATGGGAGGAGGTGGCACCCACGCCTGCAGTGAGGCAGTGACGGACAGGAGCATGGGAGGAGGTGGCACCCACGCCTGCAGTGAGGCACTGATGGGCAGGAGCGTGAGAGGAGGCGGCACCCACGCCTGCAGTGAGGCAGTGACGGACAGGAGCATGGGAGGAGGTGGTACCCACACCTGCAGTGAGGCAGTGATGGACAGGAGTGTCGGAGGAGTCGGCACCCACACCTGCAGTGAGGCACTGATGGGCAGGAGAATGGGTGAAGCCGGCACCCACACCTGCAGTGAGGCAGTGACGGGCAGGAGCATAGGAGGAGGAGGCACCCACGCCTGCAGTGAGGCAGAGTTGCAGGAGGAGCATGGGAGGAACTGCCGGTAGTGCCCCATTCTGTTCTGGAATGAATAGAGAAACCCTCTGCCCAAATAAGGTTTGAATACAAGTGAACTGGCTTGTGTTAGAATTTAACTGGCTTGTGTTAGAATCTAGCTGTCTCATAGTAGTGGTAGCCCAAGACATTCAATAGTTCTGAGGTTTTCGTTTATGAGTGATGATTCCAATGTGCCAAAGAAAATGAGAAAGAGAATATATCAAATTTGAACAAAGTAAATCTGTTACCAAATTTTAAAATCTGTTCACGAAGTCAAACTCTGCTTCTCACTAATACATATTCATAAACATTTGCTTATGTTGCATAAAACAGAATCTAAAGTAGCAAAAACATCACAGAGAAAGACTGGGACACACAGGGATCACAGAAAACACAGTCCTCAGTCACATAGGAACACATATTCAGTTTTAAATCTTATCTTTCGGCTTAAAAAAAAAAGACTCAAATCTCTTTTAAGTTCTAATTATAAAACAAATTTCTATATTTATATTATCTCCATGAACTAGAAATAATCATTGTACGATTATTCAAGTTTCTATTATATTTGAGTTGACACCCTGCAAACATATCTTTAATGTTACCTTTTAAAAGAACAAAGGCATATTTTAGATTCTGATATGCTGCTGCTATTACCAAAGTTGTTTTGTTTAGAAAAATTAAACCAAATATACAAAGAGCATTTAACTGTGCTCCAGGAACTCTACATACAATATTTTGTTTAATCCTCACCAGAACCTCTGAACAATTAGTGGCTCCATCTAACAGACAACAGAATGCCTCGGGGGAACAGGTAGAATAAAGAGATCCAGACCCAAAGGACTCCGGAGGCCTTCCTGTTACGCCACGCTGAAGTATACAGGATGGAATTGACATAAACGGTCAAAATTTTCTTGCCAATTAAATCATATTCCTCCCATTTCCAAACATAAAAAAATTGAAAGCTAACATTTAAAACAAAAATTTAATAAAAGGAATGTCTTTCTTCAAACAACATTCTCCTTGAAGACCAGTATTAACAATCACTGAACTTGCATAGGATTTTATTGTTCATAAATTCCACGTCCTATGCACGATATAAGCATTTTTGTTTTTTTTTTTTTTTTGAGATGGAGTCTAACTCTGTCACTCAGGCTGGAGTGCAGCGGCAGGATCTCAGCTCACTACAACCTCCGCCTCCCAG